AACAGTCAGAAATACCCCTGCGTCTGGGTTCTCGTTGGAGCCGCTTCTCTATATTTTTTTCATTCCATAAATGAGTTAAATTAAGTACAGCACCATCTGCTATCTCAATCGAATTCAAAAAATTATTTTCCTTCTTGAATAGTAAAATGTCGAACAGTTTTACGTCTTGTCTAATCATAAAACTGTGATCCGCTGCATTGTAGTCAACACAAAGAAACATTCCTTTTGCTTGGGGCTTCTAACGAAAACATGAGTTTGACGGACTCTAAAACTTAAATCTCTTCCTAGCTCTTGCCCTCAGCAACCATAAAAATCTCAGACCTATTATAATTTACCCCTTACACAACGACAGTCCCGTTTAAATTTGAACGCCCTTTGTATTTTAACAAATAAAATACCGGTTCAAAAATATTTTGAGAAAATCATTCAACTTATTACGCCAATCTTTAGGACATTAGTAGGTACAATACGGTCGCTTTTGTTTTTTAAAAAATTTTGTGACTTCATTTATATATAAATAAAAACAAATGCAAAGAGTAGCATTTCTACCTTTGTTGTGTAAACATTTAGAAAGAGGCAATCTTCACTAGTGGGTCCAATTACTTCTTGAGGACATGTAGGAGCATCGGTAGTTGCATTAAGGGTACCACTCCATTCATCAGGTGGTTGTGGTGGCTTAAAACAAAATCAATTACAAATTAATCTCCAAATTGAGATGTTAGAAAAGTCAACATTAGTTATTTTAGATGTACACCTAGTTGTCTACCAGCGATGTCTCGGTCTTCCAAAGATAAGTGAAGAAGAATTAGGTACAGTATATCCTTAAATGTCTCTCAGAATGTGTGCATTAATATGAATATTTAGAATTAAGTGTCGATACCAAAAATTCATACTACTAACTATCACTAACATACACATACAAAAAAGATGCAACATAGAGAAAAGGAAAACGGAAAATTCACCTAAATATTAAAGCGATATTAACAGTTTATCCCACTAGCCAGTTGCTTCCTAAGCGAAAATAATAAAAATTACAATTTGGACCCGAATTTGTAAAAATAAAATCCTAGCAGAAATAAAATTACTAGGTATTTTAGTTCATATTACAAATTTAATTGTAATAATTAAGAAACTTAAAAATAACTTTTAAAGAAACATGTCAAAGTTGATATTATTGCAAGTTACCTAATAAATTCTACTATTTCTAGGGCAAATTCAGTCAATACAATCGAAATTGTAATTTTTGCGTTGTCATAAAAATTGTTTTTAGGGAATTCAGATACTTATAAGTACATATCTACAAAAATTTGTAAACGGATTATTACACGCGTTTAAGGTGTAAGCTATTCTGGAATTTATAAAGAGCAGTTTTGCGTTGGTTTTATTGAAATATTGCCGGCTGATTTCATAAACATCGGAATTATGTGGGAAGTGCTTAATAAAAGTCTGAACGTTTTTTAGGTCTGTCCGATAAATCAGAAACGAGTGTGTGGTAATAACAGACGAGCCAACGGTTTTGTTTCGCTGGGGGCAAGGACGAAAGCGCAAATGAATTTCGGCTGAGTAAATCTCTCACCAGCAACAACATATATGCACGGTCATGATAATAATTTGACAGGATCGGTGTAAAAAACTACCAGCTGTAATGCAGGTATTAAAGGAGAGAAAGCAAATTACGAACCGGATATTCTTGCGGTTTTATTATTTGCAAATAATATACAGTCTTGAAATTTGTATCTGGGACTACAGTTAAGTAACCAGGATAAACAAATATCCTTGATTGAAACTCTAGAAGCAAGCTATTTATTGTTAGATAATGAAAAATTTTATACAAGAGTGAAAATGAGACAGAAAGAATAATGTTTTATGCGTGAAATTCGCATTTTAGCTGCAGGTATGTATTTTTTACGTATAATTATAATTAGTTGGAAAATATTAAAATGATGCAGGTAAAAAGTCCTATTACTAAATAAATAGGAGAAAAATTATATTGAAATGTTGTAGGTTGTAAGTAAGTGTTTTGGTATTAAATTATCTCTTAAACAGTTTTCCCTACCTTTGCGCGTGCCTAGGGCCCGTAATTTTAGAGCCCGAAAATTAGGCTTTTAATTTTTATAAATAATTTTTATTTTTATCTGGAAAATATTTATATTTAATTTATATTAGGGCTCGCTTTAGCCTTAGTTCGCTACTGTAGAGTAATAAATTTTTTTCTCAATTGCAGATATGGATACGTATTCTATTCCTCTTTTGATATAAATTATACAACAAATACTTACTTTGTTTACTTCTGTAATTGTTGAGTCATTCATGATCGCGTTGATTTCATTATTAGTTTTTATGTAAGGTGGCGATAAAGAATTATTGCTGTGGGATGGGGTAACAGCCTGGATATTTGTCACATTTTCTTTAGAGCTTTTCGGGGAGATACGTGACGGAAAACTCAGGGTTTTCGTCCACTGTGTTAGGCTTCGAACCATTTTCATTAAACAAATAGTTGTCCAATCACAATAACTCAAAATGTTTACAATATTTAATTTATTTCACTAATTAAAATCACACGCCGCGAGGTTTGAAGATTTTCGAAATAATCATGTGCAAGTCCAACCGTGACACTCGTGACTTTCAGCAGAGCTTTCGTTAAGGAACTGGCTGATGTGAGTCCATTCTGATTTTGTTCTCAATCGGCCTTCCGCTGGCCTTTCCCCCCACCCCCTTGGGGTGTGTAAAACAGCTGTTTCTACTAGTGACTTAGCTGGAGTGGGACAGATACACGGACGTTGAAAAAACTTGTGCTATAGATATATAATACTTATAATTTTATACTGTGCGTTTTTTTTTCAAAACGATTTCATACCAGACCGGTTCATTACAATTCAGTCAGTTAGTCTATCTCAACGGTTTTTCAGAAAACAGAGGAAGTGTGGCCTGAATCAGTGATGGGAAAAGGTAAAGGAGAATGGATTAGAGTTGTTTTATTGTTCTTAAAGACAACTTTATCGTTAAAATAAAAAGCAAAACTTTATTATTACGTAAAATGCCCCAACCTATTTAGTATGAGAAGCTTTTTATAAGCTTTTAGCAATGCGCTATCGTCTTCAAGTATTATTGGGTAATTATTAATTTGTTACAAAAATTGCTCATTAATTATACAAATATATACACTATAAAATAAATTTTGACTCAAAAAACAGAAGATATAGGTATAGGTACTGGATAAAAATATTATATTATTCATTACACATTTCTCGAATTTTCAATTTTGTCACATAACTTCCACCATTCATGCCTTCAAAAATCACTCCTGAAGAAGCTTCAGTGAAGTGAAATAGTTATTGTAGATAATCAGTAGAATGCCTTTTTAGTAAACATTGTGTTCTGGTTTTCTGTTACTGATGAAGTTACAAGAAGTGAAAGCTTCAGATTTACAATTATTAATTTACTACAATATGCTTATATAAAGCAAATTTATTGGATAAAAGAAAGAAATGTATTAGCAATAACCCAGTTATGCAGTATTAGTATTGGATATTGCATCATATAAAATTTGACCCCGTTTGTTCAGGTGCTTAACATACCTACCTAAACTCCTATCAATCTCCCTCATGTGGAATATGTGACGAAATCATTTTATCCAATCAATCGAATCGATCGAAGTATCAAAACGATTGTTTAATGTCATTCCTTAATAATCTCGTCTCGTTTGTATAAATATTTGCGACGATATTTGCATCTAGATGACGGTTGGAAAGACGAGGAAAATCGTTAAATGGGTGCGGTTTAGACAAGTTGAGGTACGTTTTAGAAAGGATGAGCAAGATTTTCAAGTCTGTGCCTGTTACTCACTTGCGGAGAATGTGCCTACAGGTATAATACCTATCTACTTCTCGAGATCTGTCTTTAGTTGCCGCATTTGTCTGCCATAATACTCCACAAGTATAACAACAAGCAATTAGAACGTTATAGATATTTCTATTAAATAAATAACTGCCCTTTCCACTATACATAATTCATAAATAATTAGCATTCTAAAATGATTATAGTTTTAACTTTAACTTCGCAAACCTTAATTTAAACATTTAAGCGGATGTTTAAACCAAAAATTCTTAAAAGTTTTTGAGCCACTATCTTTTTACAGTCCTTTTTTCTGTGGAATACTATACCTTCGTCTAATACTTTTCTAAGCAGTTTTGACTGCATTCTAAAGCCAATAACAATTCCGTACTCATCGTCAGGAGTCTATATTGTAGGTACTGAGATAATAAAGGTAAACTTCGTTCATCAAAAGTACACAGTTACTCATTCTGATAACGATTTCACTGAAAACTGTAGATAAAGTTACGTTTAATCGACCTTAGGAACCTTAAAAATATTGCTTCCTTTTAAAGAAAAGTATTACCAAGTTAATAAGTAATATGAAAGAATTTAATACATTAATTTATTCTTTTATTGTTAATAAGGGGCTGTCTTCTATCGTTAGTTTAATTCTTTAATAACACCATAAATCGTTACATTTAAGAAATGATTTTTTAGATTAGATTACTTATTATGGCACATAGAGTACTGATCTGATGATTCGATGGGTTAGTACCCGGTTTGGATCCAATACTCGGCTTTTTTTTAGGTACCGGCAAATGACACCGATTACCCGGGTAATTTTATCGGAGAACAAAAAAAATAAGTACAACAGAAAAACCTACCTAGTGAAAATTGGTAATTAAGATTGTATTAGGACATACGACCTACCCCATTGTATGTCTTAATTTGCATTATTTATTTATAACTGTACTAAATTATTTGTTATTTTGATATAGTTCTTGCGTTTACTTTTTCTAGCCGAACGGTTTTGAATTTGTGCCTTTTGTTGGTATATCAGGTTTAGATTAACTATAACTGCGATAATGATTTTGTCACCTTGCAGACTTAAACTGTTTATAAGCTCGTCACAACGGTTTCGAATCAACCCTCTCGTTGAAATCCCTTAACCAAGAATTAAAAAATTTCATTGGTTTAGTGTTTAAACGACTTTTTGAACGGGATTAATGGAAAGTTCGCTCTAACGAAGACATAAACCATTAACCATAGTGATTTTGGCGAGTACCCGGCATTAGCTGTGGCGGGTACCGGGTTATCTGGTGCATCTCTAATTTTAACCTAATTGAGATTTTCTCTTGAAGATGGTGATCCCTTTAAAATAAATTAAAATGAAAAACACTTGCACCGGATGTTTCGATTTTACATATTCATGTTCATTATGGTTAAAAGAGCCGATTTGAATTCAACATTACGGCCCCCTTGAAAGCTTTTCAACTTTATTGTGTGTTTCACAGAAACGGTCTTATTGTTGTGGTGTTGCTTAATATTCCGAATCAAAACGTGGAACAGCTCGTTCCATGTATGCCTCGTGCCACCACTTGTGGTCTGTTGACTTTAAGTAATTACTCGGATACAATTAATTCCATTACATCGACTTTTATCAAAACAATAGATAGAAAGATATTTAGATGCGAAGAACGTAGAACGTAGAAGTGAGTAGTTTCTTCGAAGTACGAAAAAAAATAATGTGTTAAATACGTACATATATAGAATGTAACTATGAAAATTGCCCATTTAAACGCCTCCCAAATGATCTTCACAATCTCGATAAAAAGTAGCAGTTTATTACGTTCTTGGTTCTTCTGTACGTATTATTCAAAATGGGATAAGTAAGTCTTGCATTACTGAAAACTACGGCCTAATTACGTAAAATATGCTATTATTTTTGTTAAAAGCACAAAATTGAAACTACAATGGATTTTACTTTCATAAAAGTCATTTAAGAATTGACAGCGATAAAAGAAAGGAGAAACAAAAAAAAAATACAACACGTAATTATACAACACGATACTGAAGTGAAACTTCTTCAAACGCACAAACATACCGGGACAGGGGTTGAGGAATTGCTTTAATGGTATTATTTGTACACTATGCTTACAATACAAACCGCCGCAACCGCTATGTCCCTGCATTTTAAGTCTGTAATATCTTCGAAAAAATTCATTTAAATTACATGCTGTAAAGGGCCATATTGATCTATATTAAATGCACAATGTCTTTAAAAGTACTTAATTGGATAAGAATTAATGATGTATTGCTTAAAATCGCTTCGTAAATAAGCCATTATTTCTTGTAAACAGAAAAGGATAAAAAATGGTTATTGTTGGTTATCCCTAAGAGATAGACATATACCATCGCGGACTTTTTTGTAGACCTTTTTAAGGTGTACAATACTGTAGTATATTATTTTGATCTATCTCGTAGGGTTCAGCCAGCGTTTGCAATGTAAGCGCAAAAAATATGTTTATTTACGACATCACATTAGAAACCTCTGATATTATCATTGTTTCCCTACTATATTATGCATGTATTTTACATATAAACCTTCCTCTTGAATCACTCTGTCTTTTAACAATAACCGCATCAAAATCCGTTGCGTAGTTTTAAGGATCTAAGCAACAGACAGCGGGGCAAATGCGTTGCATGATTTCGTTACACAGCAACTCGCATGAAACGAACTTACCCTACCGTGCGTTTCACTTCAAAAACAGCAGATACCTTTTGATAATTTTGAACTATGTTTCACTTTTTGTTGAGTAAGCATACAAACATTTTAAAGTAATTAAATAAATCTTTGATCTAGTGATCATCATTTCTGATCACCACTCTAATAACGAAGAAGCGATTAGTTCAAGGTGGTTGTTGTAGCGTATTGCCACGTAGTAAGAAAGAAGTCCAGGAAACAATGTTACAAACATACATGCAGACATTTCTACATACATTCATACACATACATCCATGCATTCAAACCAGTTATGCTCTTTTACCGAGCACGATTCTCACGACTAGCAAAAGGTATTCACCTACTACATAGCCGGACGGACAAAGTTTATGTATATCCGCATCCATCCGGGAAAATTATGTAGCAGAAGACATTTTTCGCCTCCTTGTCTCAAATACATAATGTGCAAGTGCGTGGCTAACTGTACACGTACTCTTGGTGACTGGTCTGCAACAGGTTTGTACTCGCAAATGAGACCTCTTATTACAAACTATTATCTTGGCGCCCGAATGTACATATATAGTCCGGCAATGTGCAATAGTTACAATTATAATTTACTTTTTAATGTTACACTTAAAAAAAAAACGAAAATTGACATTCTAATTAAATGAGACTAATTAAAGTGTTCGTTGGGATACTTTTGAATAGAATTCGGCCAAGTACATCTATAGGGTGTATTCCCTAACATTTAGCATCAATATTCTTCATTAGCGTACCTCCAATCTTTCCTATCCTGAGCTAAACTTCGTATTTCCCTAAAACTAGAACAACCCACATCCTTAGCTATTTGCGAACAGTAATCTAATCTAGGTCTACCTCTACCCTTCCTAACTCCTGTTTCTGCCTCTAATATATCTCTGACTAGACCTTCATGCCTGAGAAGGTGTCCTACCAACCTATCTCGCCTATTTTTTATTGGCTTCCATAGAGTCCTCTGTTCTCCGATTCTTTCTAATACCTCTTCATTTCTAACCTTTTGTACCCACGTTATCCTCATAATTCGCCTATAATATTCAATATTCTTATCCCAATTTAATTAGTAAATTACTTTGAGACAAAGTTCAGTCCAAAGCGGATCTGGGTAAAAGAGGAAGCAGGACAAAAGCGAACCTACATCAGTGACAATTATAAATTTGATCACAATTGGTTCAGTATTATTATAGCTATTCCACAAATCACGATGCCAAAGAG